ATTACTGTAAAAATTGTTACGGAACTTACTCACCTTCTATATAGTTAATATTGATCTGATTTGTTTGTAGTGGAATTATCATAATTCTATTATGAGTTACCATGAAAAATTTAGTTGCAGAACTTGTTATTCTGGTGGGTACAGTATTAATTAAGTCAAATTAATTTGTATTGGAATTATCATTATTTTTTTACTGTAAAAATTCTATTATAGGACTTACTTGATATTCTCATAAACAAAATATATGCTTAAGGTTGAGCTAATTTGCAATGGAATTATCATAATTATTATTGTGAGTGACTACAAATATTCTGTTTAAAACTTACTTGTTATTCAAGTAATATACAGTAATTTTAAGATTGTATTGGAGCTACTATCATAATTTCTATCATGAGTCACTGTAAAAAACTAATGTGGTACATAGTAGTTAATATTGAATTAGTTTATATTGAAATAGTTTATATTGAAATTTATTATTATTATGAGTCATTGTAAAGAAATTTGTGATTACAATATGTGGTTAAGGCTGATTAGTTTTATTGAATTATCATTATTTCTACCAGTGTTATTGTAAAAAAAAAATTCTGTTACAGAGTTTACTATGACCACAGTATATGGTTAATTGAGTTTGTATTAAAATTATCAAAGAAATTACACTATATATAAATAAATTAGGTAAAGAGGAGACATAAAATAGTAAATACTTAATGACAAATAAGTACTTTAGCACAGTCATTTTCTTTACAGGTCATTGTTTGACATTACACAAAGGGTAATATATATCTGTGTAGATGACTTGTAGAAAAAATAACATGCATCTTTATAGTGTTAGTTAGCCAGGTTAAAATAGATGCATGTTAGTGCTTAGTATTTCTACCTTATTTAAACCATAAGCTATAATTGGGCCTACCAATCAGAACATATTATTTAGTAACAATAACAGTTTCAGGTGACACTATACATAGAGAATGTAAAACACATTATCTACTTTTTTTATTATATGTTACACTACACAATCAAATGAATCAAAAAAAATCAAATTCTTTTGTTATGATTTTTCATTATAGCCTTTGATAATCACTGATTATCAATTCATTATACTGGCAAAAAATCAGAAAATAAAAAAAACAAATTCTAAAAAAGCTCAGAAAGTATAAACATAAACATAAAGTAAAATAGACATACAATACAAAAAGGAAGGTTTTTAAATAGAATTAAGTTGTTTTTTAACTGATTCAAATTCTTTTTTTTTTTCTTTTTCTGCTAGTATTGTATTATATTGATATCATATCATATCTATATCTAAGATATATAAAAATAGCAGGTGTAAAAATTTCCTTTTATAGAAGATGACTAAAGCCATTTACCCATGTAATTTTTCAAAGTTTAGATTAAAATTAGAAATAGAAATAGTTTAGCATTAGGATGGGGTTAGAGGCAGAGTAGTCTATAAGTAAAATCATCTTTCTGTTAATGCTTTAAGACGGTTTAGACTGTCATTTTTCATATTTTTGCATTTTCTTTATTTTTTAACTTCTTCAAGCTGATCTGTATAAACAAACTTTCACAATCCCAGTTGGTTGATTTATACAAAAAGTCACGTGGGTACACAGCTTTAAATGACCTCCTTTTATAGATTAAGAGAAAATTTTGGCTGCCAATCATATACATGAATGCAGCACAAAATATGATATATGGTAAAAATAGAATACACTACATAAATATAAATAGTAAGAAAGATTACACTGCATAAACAAATTAGGTAAAATGGGCTGGTCAAAATAAAATATCATTAATAAATAATATTTTTTCTCTCTAATTTAACAAAATAAAGTATTCATATAAATAATATAAAACAAATTTCTTCAATAAATTCTTGAACCTTATTATATTAATAATGAATTTTTTAGTGACTATTAAGCAAAAATAAATACAAACAATCTATATTATACAGCCGTCCTTCTCTATATTCACTCAGTTTGTTTTACACAAATATTAGATTATAACTATAATGTGCTTATATGGAGGTATTTTTTATTAAGGCTATTAATAAATAGTTTCAAATTTTTGTGTGATTATATAGAAGCTGTAATTATGTAGAGGTGACTATAGAGGAGTACGATTGCATATTGTTATTTGCTTAATTAAAAACTGTGTATTATTATCAGAAATTATGTATTTATACAATCTTTTTTGTAATGCTAAGATTAATAAATCTACTTGAAATTACTGTTTTATTTAATGTTTTTTTGTGATTTTAAGTGCAATAGAGAAGTGTCAATCTAAATAAATGCTATATTGCATTGCAAAATCATTGATTTGTATGATTTATTTGAATCTTAAATGTAATAAACATCTGTTGGCATGTTTAATTTTAGATAAAAGTTCTTGAAATGAGGGAGAAAACATAAATTAAATTTGTAATTCAAATACTTTCAGTATCATTGAATAATTTTAGTAAGCAAAACCACTTTCTAAAATATGCTGTAAATAGTTAATCTATTTATATTTATTTTAGCAGAAGATTTGTTTGTAATAATAAAATATAGTTGATAAATTTGTAACTGCGGTTACTATAACCACATCCAATAAAGCCAATTAAATTTTAAGATTAGGTGTAATGTAAAATCAAAACAAAACCTGATTTTTTTAAAAAAATCTTTAATAACTCAAAAATTTGACTATGAAACCATCTTTTATATTCTAATAAAAAAATTCCTAGCAAAATTTTGATATAAAGCATGCTCTTTTCTATTCATAGCCTTATCCTAACTACCCTTAATTGCAAAGTTTTTTATTTTTATAAAAAAATTTGGTTTGATGATTACTATATAAGGCCACTCCAAGAAGATTCTTTGTTTAACATAACATAAAATATTTTATGGGGGAGATAAAAAATAAAAAAATCACTGCAATTTTATTGGCTGAAAAATTTAAAAAAATTTAAAAAACTAATTCTGCAATTTGATTGGTTAATATCATGTATTATATTTATATAAAATTTTAAAAATTAGAGGGGTTATGTTAAATGAATAATCAGCTTGGTGTGGTCTAATAAATAATCTACATACACTCTACCTTTAAAATTTATTATTACTGTTATTATTGAATAATGTTGCCAGTGGTTTGAAATTAAAATTGATATTTGCCAATGACTTAGAATTTATATCGATATTATCAGTTGTTTATATCATTTCTATTCCATTTATTTGATTCCTAATTTTCTCATACATATCTAGCAAATAGTTGTCCAAAAAAAACTGTTACAAAAAGCCATCTATGCTTTAGCTAATAGCTTGAAATAGATAAATATGAGTTGTTTGAAATATAACAAAATTGTTAGCTCTTTTATGGATTTTTATTTTATCTACTACAGTATATTTTTCTTTGAAGGAGGTATTGAACTAGTATTACATTAGCATTGATTCTTGATTCCAGCTGTTTCCAGCTTCGGCTGTGAAATTAAGAAATGAGAAGATGCCAAATTATAGCTAATATGAAGTATTTTATGTAAATTCCTTCAAAGCATTATGTTCATAACCACAAGAAAAACCAGTTTTATTTAAAGCACAGTATTAATCATTAAATATAATATGAGTGTCGCCAAAAGAAAACCCGATAATTTAAATATAGACTATATTTAAATTGTCGGGTTTTCTTTTGGCGATACTCAGATAATATTATTTCATTAAATATTTGTTTTCTTGGCATTAATAATGAAGAATCGATTGAAATATAAAGAGATCGATCTCAAAATTCTTGCGATTTCTTAAGAGGAAAGTTAATTATATTGTATTAATAAACTTTAACTTATATTTATAAACGGAAATTGTGAAACTGCATTCATCTGATAACTAATAATCTTTGTAAAATGATTAAATATAAATTACACATCAGTAAAAAAAAAGACACAAAGTTGTGAAGCATTTAATCCTTAAAAAGCTTAATATCCCGTTAAGTAAAATTTTAATAAATAACAACTAATATATACATTAAGCGCATTATATAACGTCATACCAAAATTCACTACTATCATATTTCCAACAGAATATTTACGTACAAATTAGAATATTTTCCCAACAGCCCACAGTTCCTAAAATCTGTTTTTTTCGACAATACTGCCATTCTAGTTTGCATTCTAATTTTATGTTAATCTGATGTGACCATTCTACTCTGCAAATCCATACCAAATAGCACGTGTTCTATATAGTTATTCATTCACTGCTGCATATTATGATATACGCTAATCGCCTAAATAGTCACGACATTTATGTCTATAGTCATAATACTGCATGTTATTACGATATGATATTGGGGTGTCACACGGACTAATTAATCAAAACTATGTCGACTATATTGATAATTTCATTATAATCAAATTTTTATCAGTAAAATTAAAATAAATGATCGCATGTAATTTTACTTTACTTAATTATAAAGAAAAGCGCAAACTTCTAAAGGTATCACATAAATATTGCACTTATTTATCTAATTTTTTTAAATTGAAAACTATTCTTCGGAACTGTTTCAAAGTAGCTATGTTTGATTTTTCGCTAAAGTTCTAATTAATTTTCGAATCATATGTATAATACAATTTTTTTCGTCTTAATTAATGAATTTTCAAGTATTCTATAAAGTGAATGTTCAAAACCCACATATTAATAGAAAAAAATAAAAACATGGCTTTATTCTTTGACTTTATATAAATAACTGGTGAAAATTTCAAAGCGATTGCATGCCTATATAATAAGTTGATACATTTTAAAATATCTAAAAAATCTTTTTCATATGAATTAATAACAAATTGTAAGTTTTTTACTGTACGTACGTACAGTACGTATAAATTGATTTGTATTTGTGTAAATTCTGCAATAGAGTAAATTACATAGTTATCGGATATAGTTTTGATTAATTAGTCCGTGTGACACCCCAATATGATATCTACAATTCACTCAACTCATTGATTTTTGGAATTAACGCTATTATTATGATTGTTGGATTTAGGTGTCATCTGTCGGGTAGTAATAAATTGCGAGACTGTTCTGTTGATTAAATTCACCTAATGATCTTAACATTACACAATCAGGACATATATTAACAAATTCATTTGAACAATTGCAATAACCATCATCATCATATAATAAGGTCAAGAAGTTAGGATGGTTCAAATTTAAATTTGAGTTTTTGATGGTACCAGAAAGAATCTTTGCTCTAGAAAGTACTGATTTATCCCATGTGATGACAACTTGTTTTGAATTTTCTTGATCATTAATTATGCTAAATTATACAAACATTTATGATAGTAAATAAATAATTCTTATGATGAAAGTAAAATGAATAGTAATGTAAAATGGGTAAATACCTGTATTCAAAAGTAAGGTTTTCAAGTTCTTGTAAAATGTTAACATATTTTCGTTTATACAAATCATGAACAAATATGCATGAACTTAAACCACTAGTTTTATCATGAAAGTGCTGCGCAGTTACTATAGTAGATCGTCTATAGTCATAAACATTATTATTACCTAAACGTAATGTACATGTTCCTAAGAGGCTACATGAATTTTTTTGATACGTATGAGGTATAGGTATACTTTTGATAGAACTACCTTGAAGATCTATGTCTACTTTTTCGCTAACTAAACTCCTCTCAATTTTATATTTACCAAAATCAAATTTGTTTGGATAACCAATAACAACCCATCCAATCTCTAGTGAATATTGTTTTCTGCGTGATTTGAATTTTGTTTTAGTGCCAATTCTATGAAGAAGAATAACCGGTTTTTTATTATTTTCGTACACAATACGCATTCCAAAAACATCATCTTGCTTAGATTTACTCATGATCATAGCAAATACTTGATAATCTGTGCTAGGAAGATTTTTTGGTATACTTAGTTCGTAAGCGTATGGTTCCATCTTTGATAAGTCTAATATGAAATTCAAAGAATCGACCTTGGAATAAAAAATTGTTTTACCAAAAGCACGAAGTACTTGATTTCGCAATTCTTTGTTTAAAAGTTCAAAAATTGATATTATTTTAATAAATTTGACAACATTCCAATTTTTTTGCTTAATTGATTTAGTCCACACACTAAGATCCTCTTCACAGGAAATATCGATATCATCACCACCAAACCAAATTAAATCCTGAATTTGTGTTGTTCTTGATCCAGAAGCAATATTTTCAAATCCAGTGTTGGATAATAGTTCATTGCTACTTCCACCGATTGTTTGACCTCTATTTACCTGGGAAATATTGTGAGAATCACTAGCATTATTAAGTGTTTGTAAAGCAAATCCTCCCAGATATACGCTCTGTGCCCAGAATTCTCCAAACTTTTTTGTGACTTCTATTAAGTTTTCTTGTTGTTTATCTCTAGGACCTTTTAACGCATCAATTACTTCACTTATAAAATGATCAGTTGGTTCAACATCACATTCATCCACAGTAAATTCTGCTCTTATACGATCGAAAATTTTATATTTTGTAGAATTTTTATGACCACTCTTAGTAGCGGTTGCTGATTGAGATTTAAACCCAACAAAAAAACTTTGACCACGGTAAAAATGTAGTGATACCCCCTTCAATTATGTGATTTTTTACATAAAGATCTTTATATTCACTGTCACAAGTTTCGTAATAATTGACGTTCTTATTATATAATTTAAATTTACAGAGTCCTTTGTAATTTACTAATTTATAATTAGATTTATTGGGACCTATTTTAGATATATTAAATCCATGCTCTAATTTTAACCGATAGATAATTTCACTCGCATCATGTTTTTCCACAATAATATTTAAAATATAACCATAAAGAAGTATGCCTCGTAAACGGATTGAATTTTCTTGAGATTTATCGATTTTATTTCCATTCAAGTCTTCAAAGAAAATTGCAGAATCATTTATTAAAAATAATTCATCTTCTAACATATGTGATAAAAGTTCACGAATTTCTTTAAGTAATGAATGAGGTTTTAGATGCCTATATTTGGCTCGAATTTGTTTGTTAACAATAATTGCGACCTTTTGCATTTCCATCTTTTGAAATAATGTAAATCAGTAAATAGGATATCAAGGTTATAAAAAAAAAGTTTACTTTTTGTACTAAAACTAAAAGTTAATATACGGTGCACTCATTTATTGACTCCTTTCTTATGATCGTTATTATAATTCCATTAAAGTTTTTTCATTTAGTCATGCGTACAAACAATTCCGGAATTACAGAGCCGAAACGCCGTAACCTTATATAATTTCATTTGTACCAGTTTGCACACAGAAAAAAAATTTTAACTATCATTACTTTTTAAAAAACCAATTATAGAAACGAAACAATTAAGTTCGTATTATCATATTGCACGAACATTCCATACTTATGTACATATGGAGGGCAGTGATATCATATAAATTGTGTTCTTAACACATATGTCTCACAAACTATCATTAACTTTTTATTGGATATTTTTATGAATATCATTTCTTTATATTTTCTATCGCTATTATTTTCATACGTACACGTATTATTTTTATTTCCAAAATGTTATCATACTTACAACGAGCAATTAGTTCTGGTGATATTAAACCAATCAATTATAAATCATTTACTTATCTTCATAAAATTTCTACAAAGTCTTCTCATGAAATAACCAAAGTATGGAATGATGAGACTAAAGGTTTTGCTATATTAAAGAGGATTTCTAATGACCATTATTATTCAGAAAATGTGAATGATAAAAACTGTACGAAATTTGTTAAAGAGGTATTAATTTAATTATTCATGTTTATTAGAATTAATCGCATTAATGAAATTTTTTTAATAAAAAATTTTCTAAATACTGTATAAAGTACATAAAAGTGAACTCGGAATTTTCTCATGACAATGTTATTCGATTTTTTGGATCATGTCAAGGTATTGTAAGTTAATTGTAAGTTAATTGTAGTTGTGAAATTACTGTTGTATATAGATAATTGAAATATTTAAGTCCGTCTGACGACAGTAGTAGAACACGACTAAAATTGTGATTTTAATATTCGTCCGAAAAATTTTTAATGATTATAAAAATCGAAACATTATAGGTATATCGTATTAATTAAATTCATTAATTGCTTTTTTTTTTACTGTATAAAGATTCTTCGAAAAATTTTTACATGGTATTAGCATATTGTAATCAAGGAAATCTTAGAGAATACCTTTTTAATAACTTTCAATCGCTTGAATGGCCTGAAAAAATGTTGATGGCCAGGCAGATAGCAAATGGACTTGGTTATATTCATGATCATAATATTGTTCACAAGCGTTTGGTAAGACTTTTTTTTGTCAAAAATGTTTTACAGATTACAAAGTTTTCATAATTTTTAATTCTCGAATAATATATAATAATATAGCATTCGAAAAATATATTGGTCCATGATAAAAATATGATAATTACTGATTTTGGAATTTTAAGTTGCTTCCATGAAACTGAACTAATATCTGCGTATACAGAACCGCAAATTTTAAATGACAACGCTTATGTCATGGACAAAGCTTCAGATGTTTATAGCTTTGGAATGTTACTCTGGGAAATATCAAGTGGTCGTATTCCATTCAAAAATGTTAGTATTTCAGAAATCACCTCCTATTTGCTAACAGGCAGAAGAGAATTACCAATTCCTGATACACCTGCAGAATATCAAGTACTTTACGAAAAAGCTTGGAGTGATTCTCCTTTAGATCGCCCTTCAGTTTATTATATTAAATCGTCGCTAGATAAGATGTTAAGTTCATACTATCCACCAAAAAAGTATGGTTCATTTAGTACGGTAGATAGTGGATATAGTTCAGGCAGACAATCTACTGCAAGTTCGCAAAGTATCTCACAACCTATTGTATATCTACAAAATGCCGGATCAAATCAATCACAAACATCATATGGTTTAAATCTTTATTTTGAATCACCTCCCAAGCAACCTGCGCCTATAAATTTACCAGTGAAATCAAGTTCTCCTGCCCAGATATCTTTACTACAAACAGACAATCAAATTTTAATTGATCGTTTTAAACTTGATTATGGATATTATTATAAAGATAAATGTTTTGAGTCAACGGAAAGAATGTTTAAAAGTGATGATTGTAATATTGAATATCCTATAGAAAATAATTTACCTTTAGTCTACACATATCACAATAATCTTACCAAAGCAACAGAATCTAGTCGTAAAGTGTTCAATTCTAATTGGAAAATATTCATTAATGAATATGAACAATTAATTAATAAATCATCATTATTTGAAATTAATGATGAAAGTGAACTATCGATAAATGATATTAAAATACTTTTTCCTATTGCAAAAATTTCTCATAATGGAACTCTTGCCCCATATATTACCTCTTTAGTCCAAAGTGCAATTGATAACCCGCAAAATCCTCAAAAAATGACTAAGCTTAAAAAGTTATGCAAACAATTTTTATTATTAGATGTTACGCTAGGAGGGTATATTATAATTAGAGATATTGATATAAATAATTCGAGTAATTTTAAAGATTTGGAAAATATTAAGGCTCAAATTTCATGGACAATAGATTCAGCACAGTGGTCATGTCCAAATCCCTTTAAATTTTCAGCTTCTAGAAATTTTAATTTTAAAATTGAAGATGCAAATGGAACTTATATCAATGATCTTGATGAATTGGTATGTTTTATAACCACTTTTTTTTTTTTAAATCATTGTGTCAAAAAATAATCGACTAATTAATTGAATGAATTTATTTTTATTACTATTATAAGGAATGTTACTTAAAAAGTATGTTTAGTTTCGAAAATGTCAAGATCATTTCCTATGACAAAGTTGTGCTGCTTTTCAATCTATTTAGCCAACAAATGAAAGTAAAACTGAAACCTGTTTTCAATTTACACGATATTAATTACGACCAGTTTAACAAACAACTTATCGATAAAGTTCCTGAAACTCATCAATGTCTAAAGATAAATAATTGGGTTTCTAATAATAATATTTTAAATCTTCCAATTTTGTTTAGTAACTGTTCTTTAAATTATGGATTATCTTTTAATTCTACTAGAATTATTATTGGAAAAAGTCCTGCTTTTCAATTTAAATCAGAACCTTCCATCGTTCAACAAATATCAAAAGTTGTCAGATTTGTTCCTTTGGATTCTAAACGTAATTCATTCTTACTAGAAGGAAATTGTTCGACTGATGGAAAATTGGAAAGTCTTTTTTCAAAGAATCCTTTTATAACTAATCCTCTATTAAAGAATGATTCATTAGTGAATGATATGCATTTTTATATTGAAGATAAGCAAGTTGAATTAAAATTTAACGAAAATGATATTTTTCCAACAACAGAATTATCAAATGCTGTAAATAATGCATTAACACATAATAATCCATATAAAGCACTTCATGAAGTTTTTAATGAATTTGGTCACGTAATTTGTATAGATATGACTATTGGTGGAAAATTAAGTAGAATTCATTCTTATCCTTATATTGAAGATGATCGACGTACCTCAAAAAAGCCAGAAAAAACTTTTAGATGGGAAACTAATGAAAAATGTATTGAAATATTAAATGAATTAGAAAAATCTCATGAATCATTTGATTTAACTTATTTTTTTAATGCTGATGGTCAAATAATACCGATAAATAAGAATGATATTGAATCATGGATTGAAAATAATACAAAAAATGTTACCCAATGGCAAATAATTAAAAGAAAAACATTTATTCCTACGCATCAAATTCTTGATAATGATATTCAAGAACAAATTGAAGATTTGATTAAGAATTTGGAAATTCCTAATGTGTTGATGATAGGTGTAAATCATTTCAATAACTCTAATATTAAATTTATTCGGATAAAATTTGAGCAATCTTTAGAGAGTGATAAATATAAAGTTTATGGATATATATTTCAAGGAAATGGAAATAAATCGAACTTTGATATTAAATTTCGGTCAAAAGATTATTATGGATTTTCTGAATTTATTGAAATTGATAATAATTATCTCCAAAATGCGTAAGCAAAAAATATTCCTTTAGAATTCTTTTTTTTTACGTTAACACTATTATAATTCATATTTTATTTCTATTATTTAGACCTTTTACTGTTTACTGGATGCTAGTAGGAAAACCATCTTTGGTTGGTTGTTATAGTAAACATGCAAGAAACATTAAAATTAAAACTGGTGAAACAAAGATCGAAGAACCTACCATAAAAATAACTAATCTCAAAGAGCCATTATCTCAATTTTGCACTATAATGACTTATTTGGATTATCCACCTACCAATATTGAACCATCTTTTGAAATAGTTCTTGAATCTTGGTCAGAATACAATATAACTTTAAAACTTTCTGACAATTCATTATCCCAAAATGATAGTCCTTTTCAATTATCTGATTATACATTAAATTGGTGTATTATTTATTCTAATCAAGAACTTCATATTAACTTAGATAATAATGATGTTTGGATATCTCCTGGCATAAAACTTGATCCAAACCTTTATACTAAAGATTAAGATTATAAATGTTTGTTAATGTTTATAAAACTAATTATATTTTTATAAAACTAAATTGTTATAAGATTTAATTATTATAAAATTTGTATTTATATAATTAATTATTTTATTTATAATTAAATTCGATCCAAAACCATTTTTACCAATTCCGAAATATACTTGTAAGACGAAATCTGGAGGTTTCGCGCTGATGGGAACGCGAAACCAAACCTTGATTGACGAAATCGAATTACAGAAAATTTCAGATAATTTAATTTACTAGTTCATCCGTTCCTGGTTAACATAGTTGCGCAGCTACCTTATTATGTAAACTTAATACAGTAATATTGATGTTGCAAATGCTGATTATTAACATTTTATGTAAATTTTCAGAAAGCTAAACTCGCTATGATAATAACGTAAATTTTTATCATAAATTCCTCAAAACTTTCATTTTATAACCTACATACTAATATTGCTTACCAGAAAATCCCTCAACAAACCTTAGAGTTATTAAATTTTAAACTTTAATGCCGTATCTTAAAAATTTATCTATTTTTACTTATTTAAATACTTGAAGCTATATTTATTTATTTATTTAAGTAGAGAAATATTAATGGTTTATTTAACTATTTATAATTCATGTAATTGGCTTCTTAAAAACTAAATATACAAGCTGGGTCAAACTAATAACATCTTCAGAATTGTATAAAATGTCTCAAATATTAAAATAGAGTTTTTATTTTCAAAACATTATAAAATTACCCGAGTGTGACTAGTGTTGGCGGTATAATTAATTTGGCAAATTAATACGGTTACGGCATGTGCCGTATTATTTGCCGTAATTACTTTGTGCCGCAATGCCGCAATGCCGTAATGCCGCAATGCCGTAATGCCGCAATGCCGTAATGCCGCAATGCCGTAATGTCGTAATGCCGTAATGTCGTAATGTCGTAATGTCGTAATGCCGTTATATTAAAATACCATAATGTTGTTGTATCTAAACATTATAATGATATTGCAGGATAACATTCCTCTAGCGTTTATTGTTTAAAGTAATCTTTAGATTTATAGCTAATTTCAAAATTCGTGGACCACCCTAAAAATTTATCCCGAATTATTGTCGGGATGGCGGGTTGCGGGTAATCACGAGTTCTAG